CTCCACAGTCAACACTCTTGGCACCAGCAGTCAGGAAATCAAAAAGCGTATCGCGATGGGAAAGTCTGCTGTTAGGGACCTCTCAAAGGTACTCAGGAGCTTTGTGATACGTAACATAATTGCAAAGACCATGGTTTGGATTGGACACACCTTAGTCTCCAGACTGACATCACTGCTTTTCAGTGTTCTGGAGATGCAACTTCCAATGCAATTTGTCTTGATTTCCTGGCTGCTGCTACCAAGTGCTGATTGTGGAGGCAAGCAAACTAAATCTGTTAACAATCTTTTCACTGTCTACCATGACGCCAGTTGGCCCAGTGGTGCAAATCTTTTGTTTTCTTGATGTTGAGTTTCAATCCATATTGAAGGCTGCAGTCCTTGACCTGCAGCAAGTGCTTCAGGTCCTCACTTGGAGTTACTCAGGTAATGTAAAATGGGCTAGGTTTTAAAGTTATAACGGTTTTAAAGTTATAACTTCATGCAAGCACTTGTTACTTCAGTTCTGTGGATATGGTTCAGTACTGTTGAGTTTAGGGTATATGTATATTAAGTGGTCTGGTAGCACAGTTCTAAGTGTGATAAGCTGCTCTCCAAAATGTTGGCATCCATCAGCAGCTGCACGGAAGAAAGATGGACAGTCTCAAGATTTCTAACAGAGTTTAGACTGCTTTACATCTGAATCTGCTTGATGGCAATGAACTTGATATATTAATCTGTAATCACCACAGTAGTTGTTTTAAATTCTGTTTATTTTTTTTAAAGTCTGTCTGCAAAGTACAACCAGCAAGATTTATGCCTTTAACAAAATCATTCTCTGTGTAAGCAAATTCAGTATCTAAGCACAACTAAATTAGGAAAAGAGACAGGAACAAAACAGACCAGAAACAATCACAAAATAGAAGTTTAATTACTACTTTTAAATAAAAAAAAGTAAAGTACAGACTAGTAAGACTTGCTATTCTGAATTAATGTCTTTTCTAAGTAGAAGTTTATAAAACACCTAAAGACACTTAGAAAAACTAGTTCCTTGATGTCCGGTGTGATATGGTCACGTTATGATGACACAGATGCTAAGCCTGTCTTTTTAATTTTAACAAGTGATTTTGCCACTATTAAAAGTGATGTGCAAATGCTTAAATGTTGAAAGGTGAAAGAAGAAACTGATTTTGAGTAAGCACTACTTACAGAATTGAAATTTACTTATTTTTGTGTTTTTTAAACCAAACCAGAAGCAAGTTACTGTCTTGTAAGATACAACAAAAGCTTAATATCAAGTATGCAAACAGAAGCCTAACACAACTGTACCCATGAGAGACTGGATCACACCTTAAACAACTGTATTGCTACTAGCAGACATATGAGGCAGAAGTTTATTTCTACAATACTGTTACACTGATGAATAATGTTAGTATAAATTATTTACATCAAGATCTGCCTGAAATTTGCTGGTGTGACCAATGTTAGAATGGTAATACCAAAAAGTAAAGCAGAACATAATAGACATTGAGGAATTAGGGAATGGCTCAATTCAGTACAACCAGAAAAGAGTTTTCTAAAGTTACTGAACCCATTTTAGGTAATGTTCTGGCAGACAATTTGTTAATCTTTTTCTACATTAAATAGACACATTTAAGTAACAGAAGATTGGCATTCTAAATCAATGTTGTTTGATTTTTAGAAAAAAAATTGTAATACAACCTTTAAAAACTAGAGGGGCTTTATAATAAATTCTTATACTAATTTCTGTGATGTCTAACAACGGAATAAAACTTAAAAATAGAACTAAAATTTTGCTATTAAGTGTTCTACTTTGTAATATACAACAAAATACATACATACATATGTACACAAAATGAAGTAAAACACCCTTCTCCACAAATGAGTTTAACCAAATACAGTTCACAAGGGGCTAAAATGTGACCAGACATTAAACAAATAAGACTAGCTGGTTTAAATAAAATTCCATTCATATGTAATTAGGAAAGTTTATCCAGTATCTTGCAGAAAATGAAAGTATCCAATTAAGTTTGTGCAGACATCCTTTAGGATAGGTCTTTTAAAATAAATTCTATATTCACTCAAAAGGATTTTTATGTGATGACCATAGTTTTCAAATTGCCTAAAATACACTATTTAAATCAGCTTATTGGATTGATAGATCTAATCCTGGACTAGTGTCCCTTGTAGTCTCCCAGTGGTCACACATAAATAGCTATGCATTTTTGAAAACTCGGTAACCACATTTGCACATCAAAAACTGAGCTCAGTCTTTTAAAATAAAATATTTTAAAGGTAAAACTGAAGCTAAGTAACAGATTTTTTATCTACCCTAGGAAATTATTAAAATGGAAAAGTTAAGAATTTACTGAAGCGTAACAGACTTTAGTTAGAACGCTGATATTAACAAAAGTATCTAAAAAAAGAGAAGCATGAAAATCTGATAGAACTACTAGTATTAGTCACAGGAAATAATAGGCTCACCTCTGATCAGTAATAAAAGAACTGAGACACAAGTGTTCAAAGTATTTTTTTCCACAAAATCTTAGAACAGGCAGCTTCCTATTTTAACTGCCTTAATATAAACTAAATATTACTAAAATCCCAAGCCCCATAACCAAGAGTTACTAATAACAACTTTATTGTAGACAGAATAAAACCTTTCACTGTCAATCTGCTGCACCTTGACAATGACACAACTATCACGTCTCCCCACCCCACATAACAGATGGAGCTGTTTTAAACCAGTCCAAATGGGATCAATGAATTCTCCAAGTACTAATACACTTAATACTAGGAAATAGTTCAGGAATTCTCCTTGGAATCTAATAGTCATTTAGTTCTCTTTAAAACAAAAATTACTATACATCCTCCCGAGGCAAAAGCCTTTGCCATGGCAGCACAATGTACATACATAGACTAGTTTACAACTTGTCCTCATAGAACAAGGATGAGAAGGACCAATGAGACCACTGAAGCTACTACCAACTTATTTAAGCACCTGTAACTACAGCTCCTAGGGCAGCCTGATTCCCACCATCTCGGACCAAGACTGTAGACAAAGTCTAAACCTACCCACCAATGATGCAAACTGGGTGTAACCTGGATGACCTTTTGACTAGTGAGTTAGAGGATAAGTGAATGAAAGCAGGGGACAGTATAGGGAAGATTACCGAGTTACGGTTGTGGCAGGATTGTGAAGGTTTAGAAAGGGGAATGCCACTTAAGTACAGAGGTCAACTGGGTAAAGACAGCAATGTCCTCAACACAATTTATACCTCTGATGAACGCCAGATAGTCCAATGTGATTTAAAATTAGGAGTTGTTTATTTGGTAAAATGAATAGTGTACTCTTAAAATATGTAAGCATCTGAATATATTGAGGCCAAAATTTTCTAAATTCCAAAAAGTAATTAAAATTTTAAATGATTATACTAATGCCTACATACCAAGAGTTAATTCCCTATGAGTACTGCTCACAGCAATGATAGAGTGATCTGGAAACAGATGTTGTGAGTACCATTCACAGACAGGGAAGTTCAAAGGAGGAAACGGCACCTACAATTGTTAGGTGCTGTCAAGTAGCTGACCTTCCATGGGGTTTTCAGAGGCTGTAAATGACAAAGCTTGCCCATCTTTATCCCTCAGAGCAGCTGGTGGATTTGAACCGCCTGCCTCAGAACTTTATGCCTCAACAGCACAGCATCTTACTATAAAGCCAACAGAGCTCTCTGATGCGTCTACAATTAGAGGCCAAGATAACACCTTTATTAGCCTTTGAATAAGTTTCTGTATTTGTGCTCTTGTTTACATGAAGGAAGTTGTATTTAGTCAAATTTACTGACGGTTAATCAACATGCCTCACTTAAAATGGTCTATAACTTTGATATTTAACATAAAATTTCCAGAACACTCACCCAGTTCCTACTAAAACCCTCAGTATAAAAGATTTGTAGTGGAAAGCTTTACTTTCACAGGATTTTTCTCATTTATATTTTTGTGTGTGTACCGGCAAATCAGATCTGACTGGTACAGGAGGAAACTGTCCCTCCTTCCCCAGCAGAGCATCTGGTGGATTCAAACCGTGCACCTCTGGGATTGCAGTGCAGCTTCCTGCCACTAGGCCACCATATTTATTTTTTAATTATTAATGGTACTATGTCCCCACCTGCTAAAGATGAAAATAGAATATGATCTGACTCCCAAAATTGAAGTATGGTTAATAAAAATAAAACCATTGTATTTACATGAAATAGCCGGGGAAATTAAAAAGAATGGCAGGTCCTAGGAGGGCAGAGAAAAACATCAGAAACAAGTTCAAATTGAAATTTTGGGAATTTTGTCCTGTGTCCCATGCATTTATTTTAAAAACGGCAATTATGTTACAAAGAGGACTTATCTGTATTTCAAGTTAACTTGGCTTTCTTTTTAGCAGGTCCTTTGTGCCCCTTGGCCTTTCTTCTTAAATTCCTCCTGTCTACGACAGGCACTTCCACTTCTATTTCCTCTGAACTGCTATCCACAGCTTTTTCTGCAGATGGTGTGAACTGATCCAGGTGCTCAGAAGATGCTTCAGACTGCTCCTCTGACTGGTTCTTCTGTCCTGCATTCTGTGAGAATGGCACATCTTCAAGTTCTACCTCTATCAAAGAACTCTGAGGAAGGGCAGGAGATGTTTCCTGGGACTCAGGGAGACCCTCCTCAGCCTGGTCTTCCAATGACGAAGTAGTGTTGGGTGATAAATTTTCAGAGATTGATTCTTCAGAAAATTCCGTTATCACAGAATTTGGAAAACCACTGTCAGATCGTTCTTCATTGGGAACAGTAGCTACATCTTCCGAACTCCCAAAATGTGCTTTCTTTCTTGCAACCAGTTTCTCTTCAGTGTTCCCTTTCTCATCAGATGGGCTGCTTTCTTCTGTCAATGGTTCTGCATCACTTAGAAGTGGAGTCTGAAAAGGAAAAGCCTGGTCAACATAGAAACTTTTGTTATCTAGTTTTTAAAAAAGTTAATTCTTACTCACTAACACACAATGCAGTGAGTCCAAGCTTCATATGAAAAGTCAAGACTCATTACTTTGAATATAACCAAGTATTTTCAAAAGATTGTGGTAGTTATGAGACATCAAGTTCTTCACCACTACAAGAATTATTTTAAACTTAACACACTTTAACTTAATGATAAAGTTTTTATTTTAGGTTCCCAAGGTTACAAGACTCCTTCAAGGACTTGCCCTTATGCCATTTTACTTACTCTGACCAGAGGCCATGTAAGGGAAATGGAAATGGGACTCTTTTATTTGAGTGAGACACTAATAACATAATACTCTGTTTCTTACAACTGTTTCTTAGCTTTAATTAGAATATTCAAAAGTAGCAAAATTACTTTTCAAGTACTCCATCAAGCTCCCCCCACCCTCATCCTGGTGTAATCTGCCTCCCCTAGCGAAACTTAAAATTACTGCACTGATCATATTCTATGTTAAGCAGTAAGTACTCAAATATTTAATATACTGTATCCATTTTTCTAACCATTTCCTCAAGCCCACAAAGTAAACATTTTGTCACCATAGATACAAATAAACAAAATTTTGCAAAGATTTTAATTTATAGAATTTCATTTTCTTAACATGTCAAATCTCATTATAATGGCTGCTTTTCTTGAAATATACATGTTAAGGAGAGAGGAATGTTCACATGCATATTTTCACACACATACACATCCCCCATCAACTTCCCAACACTGAAGTACTTTCATTATGAAAAATCAAGTTATTTCCCCCTTGCCTTATCCTGTGCAACGGCTTCAGAAGGCTTTGAAGATTCTTCTACCAATGGAGCAAGATTCAAAGAGTCCTCATTGGAGTTAAAAGACTGCAATTTTAATTCTTCATCTAATACCTCAACTGTGGAGTTGTCTTCTTCAGTTACAAGTGAGGTCTTAAGAGTATCATCCATTATCTCACCATTCACAGGTTCTAATTCAGATTCCTAGGCCATCAAGCGAAAAAATGAAATGTTATGCAGGGTGGGCCTTCCTCCAAGCCTGCCTGTCATGCACTAGGGCTCAAGATGACTTTCGTAACATCAGAGGGCACGGGTTAAGGAACTGTCCTACTCAAAGGGAGGGGAAATTTGTAAGGCAAGGTCAGCAAAAGAAAAGAATGCAGTAATACCTCAGATTCCCACTTTTCTCCCATGACATGTGCTCTATGGGGACACAGTGTATGTCTGAGACAATGGAAAAAGGGACCAGAGGCAGTCTAGATTTGGTGCCAGGAAAGCAGTACCACCAATACCATAAAAATCTGAGTTTATTGTACCTCCTCTTGCTAAGAGTTGTTCCCGGTTTCAACTAGCATCCTGTGCAGTCAACCCTAGGTCATTTTACAACCCTGCTGCTTGCAGCACATTAAAGAAATTCTATCTGATAAAACAAACCCTCCAATACCTAAAACTACTCTCCCAATGTTTATCAATTTTTATAAGAAATTTGGTTAGAATTTATTCTTTCTAGTGTCAGTATAATAATTAGAAGGAATGCATCAAGTATTCAAAAATACGTTGCACTACATTTATATAAATAAGGATCAGTGAAGCCACAGATTTTTCCAAGGCAAATAAATCAGAGACATGGAAAAAGCAATCTGCCCATATATGTGCCAGACCAGACTGTAAAGGAGAACAGATACAGAAAAAGGTTAAACAGAATTTTGGTATGGTATGGAACTTTAGTGAATAAGTAGAAACGAGGGAAAAGTCAACCATTAACTTTCCCTATTTCCGTATTTTCCCATCACCCAGTATTGCCTAACAGTGAGTCCTCCCTCCTTTTTTCCTTCCTTCCTTTCTTCTCTTTGTTTTTGCATATCACAGAGTTGACCCATAGCAACCCTATGAACAACAGATTAGCCTTGCCCTATCCTTTGCCGTCTTCACAATCTCTGCCATCATCAATCCACCTCTTTGAGGATCTTCCTCTCCTCACTGACCCTCTGCCTTTGTCCTGTCCCTAGTAATGATTAATAAACTTTGTTCTCTGTACACCTGCCTATGCTAGATATTTAATTTATGTGAACCATATAACATTTTTACCTCTGTAGCTGACTTACTCCATTCTGCATGCTTCCAAGGTTCATTCCTATTACAGAATGTATAAATTTTATTTCTATGGCTGAGTAAAGTTCACTGTATGAATGTATCATATTTCTTTCATTCATTCATTCATTCATTCATTCCTTTAACTAAAAAACAATTCACTGCTGTTGAGTTGGAACCACCTCACAGCTGACCCTCCAAAAGTGTTTCAGAGGCTGTAAACTGCACAGGAGGAGACCGTCCATCTTTCTCCGGTGAAGCAGCAAGTGGATTCAAACTGTCTGCCTGTGGATTGGCAGCATAATTCCTTCCCTACTAGGCCACCAGAGCTCCCTACATGCTTTTTAAACATTTGACAATTTCTGCTAAAATTCTAAAATAACGTGTCAGCTCAGCTCAGAAACTTTTTATGGTTCTCCATTTTCATAAGAACACAGGCATTTTAAACATTTTATCGAGTACCTTTTCTTCATCTTGTTTCTCTAGGCACGGCTGGGTGTCTGGTGTTGGCTGTGCATCTTTGTCACTGCTTTCATCCTCAAATTCAATCACATTTTCTTCTTGTTCTTCTGGGAATTCTTCTGAGCTCTCTGATGTGCGTATAGTGGACTCTAATCTACAGTAGTAACAACAGCAATAAACTTTTCTTGTATTATTGATGATGAATATAAAATTTCCAAAATATTTTATCAAAAAATACTTTCAAAGTATTGATTATTCAGTCAGTAATTTCAGACTTTCAAGCCTAGAACTAATCTCTTGATCCTTTTACAAGCTTTTTCTCTTTCCCCATCTTATTCTTCAATTAAATGAGTAATACCAGCATTTTCTCAGTCATGGAAGTTAGATACTCATCATACTTAGTATCATCCAGGTCTTCATCTGTCAAAGTGAACATTCTTCCCAGTTTACCTGAGACAATTTATATAGGTTGATAGCTCTTGCCAGGCATGTTTATTAATCATTCTCTTTTCAAAAATGTCAAGACAATCAATTAAAATGGCTCAGTTCTACCTCTGAAATATCCTCCAAACATACCTGATTCTTCAATTTCCAAAGTCATGACCTTAATTCAGGCCCCAATTCTCTCTTGACCACTGTAACTGCACCTCATCAGACTGTCTGTTCTTCAACAAGCTTTCATCTTAGTGCCTGGCAGAAGTTTTTGATGGTTCTCTCTGGCTTAAATAAAGAACAGCTTCTCTACACACATGACCTTATAGGAACAGACCCTTATTGTCTCTTACTAGATGGGACCTCAGACATCTGTAATCTTTATCATTCCTCCCTCTGAGCGCTACGCCTTTGCTCATGCTATTTCCTTAGTCTTGAACAAAGGCACATGTTGTCATTTATTTGCACTTCAATTACTTAAAATGAAATAAAAGTAAAAATTCAGTTCCTCGACTGTACTAGCCATATTTGAAGTCCTGATTACTGGTTCTCACATTGAACACTGTTATTCAGTGTTTCCAACACAAGAAGTTCTGCTGGCATGAAGATTAGAAATTGACCAAGTTTTTCTTAAGAAAGTTCTTTTAGGTGCTGCCAATCATACTTTGTGTCTTGACTACTCAACTCTGCTGCTATAACCAATATATAAATTAATTAGCATAGAGATGTTCTAATAAAGTTTTATTTACAAAAATAGGTAGCAGGTCTATGGAATATAGTTTATAAAGCCATGGATTAAGAAATCTTATCTCTTAACTTCCCTTCTGAAGTGTTGGGCCAAATTAATAAATCACTCCTCAGCATCTATAGAATTCTGTATCATCATAAATTTTAGAGCACTCTTAACTGTTAGGTGTCTGCCTTGTTTTGTTCCTCTTTGTGTCTGAATCAGCATTCAACCATTTGGTCTTATGAAAAGAAAAGAAAATTCACAGTGATCCTAGGATGATCAATTTAAAATTAATTGTTCCATCTCTAGGAAGAGTCTGACATCAAATTATTGCTCAATAAGAAAGCTGGTTATTTAACTTACTATTCCAATCACAATTTACTAGATTTAAATATTTACTTCTGTTTACCTTTAACATTATGTATTTTTTCATAAAAATAAAAATTTGCATAATTACTCATTTACATAATAAAATATGCATAACTGAAGAACTTGCTTGTGTGTGAAATCAATGATATTGTTCTGTAGTTTCCACACTCTGTTGGGCCACCCTTCATTGGAATGGGAACAAATATAGACCTCTTCCAGTCAGTTGGCCAACCAAGTGGTTGTTCTTCAGATTTCTTGGCACAACTTGGTGAGCACGCCCAGGGCAACATTTGTTTCCTGAAATATGTCAATTGGTATACCATCTATTCTTAGGGCCTTATTTTTTGCTCTTTCCTTCAAAACAGCTTGAATTTCTTCCTTCATCACCATAGGCTCTTGATCATGCTATTTCATTAAATTCTTCCGTATCTGCCAATCGTTTTTATACAATGACTCAATATATTCCTTCCATCTTCTTTTAATACCTCCTGGATCATTTAACATTCTGCCTAAAGCATACTTGACTATAGCAACTCTAGGTTTGAATTTGTTCTTCAGTTCCTTGAGCTTAAGAAATGCTGAACGAGTTCAGCCTTCTGATTTTCTGACTCTAGCTCCTCGCACATTTCATGGTACTATTTTGCTTTGTCATTCCGTGCTGTCTTTTGGAATCTTCTGTTCAGCTCCTTAGTATTTTGAATTCTTCCTTGTGCTTTGGCTTCTCTATGCTTCAGTGCAATCTTCAGAGGTTCTTCTGACATCCATTTGGGTCTTTTCTTCCTCTTCTGTCTTTGTAATGACCATTTGCACTCTTCCTGGATGATACATTTGACATCCTCCCACAACTCATCTGGTCTTCGCTCATTAGTGTTCAAGGCCTCAAACCTGTTCCTGAGATGATTCTGAAATTCAGGTGGGATGAAATCAAAGTCATATTTTGGCTCCTGTAGATTTGGTTTCATTTTCCTCAGCTTCAGCTTGAACTTGCGTATGAGTAGTTTGTGGTCTGTTCCACAATCAGCTCCTGGCCTAGTTTTCACAGCTGATACTGAGGGTCTCCAGCGGTTTTTTCCACAGATGTAATCAATCTGATTCCTATGCATACCATCAGGAGAAATCCATGTGTATAACCTGCGTTTATGTTTCTTATAAAACGTATTTGCAATGAATAAGTCATTGATTGTACAAAATTCAATCATTCTATCTCTAGTTTCATTTCTGTCACTAAGCCCATGTTTTCCAACTACTGATTCTTCTTCTCTGTTCCCAACTTTTGTGTTCCAGTCACTCATTATTATCAATGCATCTTGAATGCATGTTTGATCAATCTCCGACTGTAAAAGTTGGTAGAAATCATCTATTTCTTCTTCTTTGGCTCTGGCTGTTGGTGCGTATATCTGAATGATAGTGGTATTCACTGGACTTCCTTGTAAACGTATGGATATAATCCTGTCACTCACAATGTTGTACTTCAAGATGGATCTAGAAATTACTTCTTTAACTATGAGAGCAACCCCATTTTTCCTCACCATTTCATCTCCGGAGTAATATATCATATCATCATCTGACTCAAAATGCCCCATGCCAGTCCATCTCATCTCTCCAATGCCTAATATGTCAATATTTATGCGTTCCATTTCTTTCTTAACAATTTCTAATTTTCCTACATTCATGGTTCTCACATTCCATGTTCCAATCACTAGGGTCTGCTTACAACTGTTCCTCTTCCTTTGTATTTCTGTACTTGAAATTTCTACCAGGTTGCCCTTTCTGTTAGTCTACGTGTGTTCTGTTGTACATAGGGTTTTCAGAGGCCTGCTATTTCAGAAGCGGATGGCCAATCCTTCTTCCTAGTCTTTCAATCTGAATGTTTAGATTTAGAGGAGTACCTAACAGACAAGCAATATGTGGAGCAGCGAAAGATAAATCCCTCATAGTGGAGCGTCCCTGCCCTTAACCCAGTGCCTTGACCTACTTATTTCCCAGTTCCACTCTCCAGCAGGATACCCATTCACTTCTACCAAATCCCTTCAGAATTTATCTTCCATTGCCCAACCCATGATCTGACAGCTTGTATCTGAAGTTTCCTTGGCTTCTGTGATTCCGAACATGTCGACTGCTGAAAATTTTTATGCTGTGTCCAGTGTCTCTTTAGTTGTACTGTCTATGAAGGGTAGGTGATGTGTCCCGTAGAACTTCTGTATAGATTGTATTTTTTCTTCTTGGCCTGAGGCCCTATGGCCCTCGGGCCTGACCAATTTTTGGCTCTGCCTTGGGGCTTGTACCTGTAGGCGTGTCAGAAGCTGTGCAGAAACTACAGAACAATATCACTGATTCTACACGTAAGCAAGATTATACTGAAGATTATTCAAAAACAACTGGAATAGCACATCAGCAGAGAACTGCCAGAATTCCAAGCTGGGTTTAGAAGGAGTCGTGGTACTAGGGATATTGGAGCTGATGTTAGATGGATCTTAGCTGAAAGCAGGGAATACCAGAAGAATGTCTATCTGTGTTTTATTGATTATACATAGGCATTTGACTGCGTGGATCATAACAAACTGTGGCTGACTCTGAGAAGAAAGGGAATCCCAGAACATTTAATCATGCTAATGTGAAACCTATACTTGGACCAAGAGGCAGTCGTCAGAACAGAGCAGGGCAACACCGCATTGTTCAAAATTGGGAAGGGTGTACGCCAGGAATGTGTCCTATCTCCATACATTTTCAACCTGTATGCAGAGCAGATTATCCGAGAGGCTGGGCTCTATGAGGAGAATTGGTGGAAGATCTATTAACAATCTGCGTTATGCAGATGACACAACCCTGCTTGCTGAAACTGAGGAGTACCTCATGCACTTGCTGCAGAGGTCCAAGGACTGCAGCCTTCAGTATGGACTGAGGCTCAATGTCAAGAAGACAAAGATTCTCACCACTGGACCAATTGGCAGCATCAGGATGGATGGCAAAGAGATTGACATTGTTCACAGCTTCAGTTTGCTCAGCTCCATGGTCAACACTCTTGGCACCAGCAGCCAGGAAATAAAAAAATGTATCATGATGGGAAAGTCTGCTGTTAGGGACCTCTCTAAAGTACTCAAGAGAAACAGTGTCTCTCTGGAGACTAAGGTGTGCCTGATACAGGCCATGGTCTTTGCAATCACTTGTTATGCATCAGAGAGTTGGACAATGACTAGGGAGGATAGAAGGAGAATTGATGCCTTTGAGCTGTGGTGCTGGAGAAGAGTGTTGAATGTACCCTGGACTGCCAAGAAAACAGATTCATCCTGGAGAGGGTTAAACCGGCCTGCTCCTTGGAGGCAAGGATTCCGAGGCTTCATCTGACATATTTTGGACATGTTGTAAGGAGAAACAGGTCCTTGGAGAGGGACATCATGCTTGGTTGGGTAGAGGGACAGCACAGGAGGGGAAGACCCTCTATGAGATGGATTGATTCAGTGACTGGGGTAATCAGGATGGGTGTGTCAGAGGCAATGCAATTGGCACAGGATAGAGCAGGGTTTAGGGCTGTTGTACATAGGGTCGCTATGAGTTGCAAGCGACTCGATGGCACATAACAACAACAACTGAAGAACTCTACCTGACAATTTGACAGCAAAAATGGTAAAGCTATGAATTAAAGGGTGACTTATAAACAAGTTTCAGCACTATTAGGGTCAACATCTAGATTTATTTTAAAATTAAAATCCTGCTCTAAGATTCAAAGGAAGACAGAAAACGAAGTACCGACCCAAATGTTTGGTTGATTCAGTTATAAACTCCTGGAGGAAATGCTTGCACTATGCATGATCATCATTAATTTAAAAATGACATCCACTATCCCAGTAAAATCAATCTGTTAAAAACTAAAGCTCAGGGTTTGGAAAAGCTTAACTAAACCTTGTTGTTGTTAAGTACCATTAAGTCAAGCATGACTCACAGTGACTCTATGAACAAAAGACATGAACCCTGGTCTATAGTTATTGTCGTTTCTCCTACATTCATAGTTTCCAGAGGCATGTTGTTTAGAAGTGGATGCCACTCCTGCTTCCAAAGCCTGTCTCAATTCTGGATGCTCCAACAAACACTGTCCACCATGGAAAACCATTATGGCATTTGACACATCAGTGGCACAGCATTCAGCATCACAGCAACCCCAAATTACTTCAGTACAGCACACTGACAGACCCATGCTGTACTACTCAGAAGAAAAAATGCAGAATGCTTCACCAATCTATGTTAGTATTACTAAAAATTATAGTTACCAAAATAAAAAATTAATGATGACCTAGGGTATTTGTTAGAATATTTACCACATGACTAAGAAGAGATTAAAGAGTAAGCTTTTTCTGCTCTTTTACTAGTTACCTTCTTAGAACATTGTCAATGTATACGGATACTAATTATTAGTATAATCAATAATGTTTTTGTTGTCGTTGTTATGTACTATCAAGTTGACCTGAGACTCACAGAAGAATTCAAATACAAAAATCTACACTCAAAGTCATTTGCTACATGAACAATGTAATATCCTCTAATCATGTAAAAATAATGGTCAACAAAATAATGACAGTAGAATAAATGCAAAAACTTTTACTTGTTCGTAGAAGCTGCAGGTGAACTCTGAGGAGTCTTTTCTTCTTCACCTTGAGAACTACTAAATTCAGAATCCTGAAACCTCTTTCCAATCTTTGGCCGCTTTAGATGACCACTTCGAGTACGAGTTGAAACAGGTGTTTTACTGTGACCTAAAACAAACAGAACAAAACTGTACTCAACTGCTGATAAGTTCAAAGAATGATCTAACAAAATACACAGACATAGAAACTATTCCAATTTACATATATCTTCTCTCACTAAAGTCTGACTAAAAAAATGTCAGTGTATTTTTCTGAAGTACAAAACAGCTTTGTTAATAGTCATTCCTCACATATTTCATTTACCATGAGCTTTGCAGAGTAGCTCTGCATTTTCACATATAGTCTTTCTCAGCAATACTGAGAAATAATTAAGGTAGATGTAATCTGTCCCTACTTCTCTGCACATGATGGAAAGAGAGGAACAACAGCTTACTAAGTGTCTAAACAGCAAAATCAGTGGTAGTGGTGGCACTGGAACCAGATCTTGTTTTTAGGTCTCAAAGTCGTCACTTTTCTTGGATGCACATATACACCCACATATACATCCCTAATTCTAAGTGCCTCAAACACTGATAGATCAGGTGAATTTCTTACCTTCAGAAGTACTTGCAAAGACATCTTTTACTGAATCAATCTAAAATAAGAGATACAGATTAACATCCAAAGATTTTAAACCATTTTTTCCCTATGGATCTAATTCACTCACAGCTTTAGAAAGAAATGTCTAAAACATTTTTCAACTAGCATTTCTGTACTCCTTATTAGATCACTTTTTTTAAAGTAACTTTACTTACACTACAAAAAAGTTCTACTACTACCACAGTATATTATAAGCTTAAGAAGTTATGAAGCCGTCCAATGTGTCAACAGTGATTGCTAACATTCTATTCTCAGCAATCCTGCTTTCTCAGTCCACACATTTTCATTGTATAATTTTACCACTGTATAATTACCACTATTACCATTTACATAATTTTACCACTTTTATATTAGCTGGTATTCTAAAAATACAAATTAAACTCCCCAATTTCTTTCCTGACTTCCAAAGTTCTACTTTAGTGGGCTATTTTATCAGTGAATGTTCCACCAATTTTACAACAAATTTGTTTCAATTAGAACTATTCCCCTATTGCTATTCTCTATCTTGGTTAAAGGTAAATAGCATTTCATTCATTCTAGTCAGAAACTTGAGAAGTAGTAGTAACTTATCACTCATCCAGTCTATCTCTCTCAAACTCTCTTTGTCTCACACACAAAACACACTCTCTCTCCCCCTCCCTCCCTTTCTCTCTCCATATAAAATTGATTCCAACTCAAACCTCCCCTATGGAACAGAATAGGACTGCCCCATAGTGTTCCCAAAGCTGTAAATATTTGCAGAAGCAGAGTTACTACATCTTAATCATGTAGAGATGCTCACTTGGGTTTGAAATACTGATCTTCTGGTTAGCAGCCAAGTGGCTTTAACCACTACCCCAACACTAAGCCTGCCAATTTTAACTACAATGAATCTTTAAAAACTGACTCTTCCTTTGCTATTAACACTACATTCTCTCTAATCTCTTCGTATTTAATGACAGTGCCATTTCTAAATCACAAATTATGCATCTCTTTTGCTTCTTTGGTAGACAGGCTTTAATAGTTTATATTGAACCTCATACAGGTTCCCAAATTTTCTTCCACGCCTGCGCTTTTTGACGTATTTACTTGGAATACTGTTAACAACTCCTCTTATATTTCAAAAGCCAAGTTGGTTATTGCTTCATCTATTCCAGTTCTGAAGTAGAATTACTCATACTCTGCAATATGCTCTATAGTCTCTGATGGGTGTAAATGGATAACATGATCAGCTGCTGACCAAAGGTCAGAGATTCGAGTCTCCTCATATATGCCTCAGAAAAAAAAGGTCTGGCCTCTACCAAAAATTCAGTCACTGAAAGCCTCAAAGGACAGAATTCTGCTCTTATACATGAGGCTGTCTGAGAAGAAATAGGTAACTGTATTCCTCTATTTCCAAAAACAGATCACATCCTTCTCACATGTATTTAAGAATCAGATCTCACCTTTGCATGACCAGAGTGTGCTAGAGTTGTCTACATTATTAAATAAATGCAAGTAACTGATCCACTCATTTACACATACCAGAATGGTTGAGATCTTAACAACACTGGGAGGCACACAGATGTGAAAGATGTCTTTGTAAAGCACACATGAATAAAGAAAAGTAAAAATCCTATCTTTAAGAAGCCTGTAGCTCAGCTGAAAAAAGGCTATGACAGAAGCAAAAGAAGATAACAGAATGTACAAATAGTTTCATAAAAGATAAATGCAAAGTTTTATGTATAAAGAATAGGAAAAACCAAAATACTACTACAACCTAAAAAGATACCTTATATGGTTGAACAAATAAAACTACTTTCCTATGGTGGTTAAATCTACCCAAAGGCACTTTGGAAGAAAAGCTTGGTTATCTACTTGTGAAAAATCAGTATTATTAAAAATCCCTGAGAGCACACCTACATGGCTATGTTAGATACCGTTAAGTAGATTCTTAGCGATCCTATGAACAACAGACCTGAACCCTGTCCCATCCTATGCCTTCATTATCTCTGGCACTCTTGAGCCCACTGCTACAGTCACCATGTCAATCCATCTCATTAAGGGTCTCCTTCACCGACCCTCCAACTTTCCTAGCATGATGTCCCTCTCCAAGGATTAGCCTCTCCTAGCAACATGCCCCAAAGTATGTGAAATGAAGCTTTGACATCCTTGCCTCTGGCTGTACTTTTCCCAAGACAGATCTGTTTGTTCTTTTGGCAGTTCATGGGATAGTCTGCACTCTTCTCTAATATTATGACTCAAAGCCATCAATTCTCCTGTCATTCTTTTTCATTGTCCAGCTCTCAGAATCCCAGCAAGTGATTCAAAAGATTATGACCTGACCTGAATTAGGAGTACCTTAATCCTCAAACTGACATCACTGCCCCTCAGTAATTTGGAGAGATCCCTGGCAGTGGACTTGTCTAATGCAGTAAGTCTCCTGATCTCCTGACTGCTGGTATCACAGGTGCTGACTGTAGATCTGAGTAAGATGAAACTGTTGACAATTTTAATTTTTTCTCCACCTGTCATGATGCTGCTTACTGATGCAGTGGTGAGTCTTTCTGTTCTCTTGATGTTGAGACACAATCCATATTGAAGGCTGTAGTCTTTGATCTTCTGCAACAAGTGTTTCAAGCCTTCCTCATTTCCAGCAAGCAAAGCTGTGGTATATGCATAATACAGGTTGTTGATAAGTATTTCTCCTATCCTGATGCCACATTCTTCTTGTAGAGTCCAGCTTCTCAAACGGTATGTTCATCATAGAGACTGAGTAGGATTAGAAAAAGGATAGAACTATGATGTCTATCTTTCCTGATTTTAAACAAGGTAATGTTCCCTTGCTCCATCTGTTCTGACAACAGCTTCTTTTTCTAAGTATAGGTTTCATATGAGCATAATTAAGTGTTGTAGGATTTCCACTCTTCTCAATGTTAGCCATTATTTGTTATGATCCAAAAAGTCAAAATGCTTTTGCATTGTCTGTAGATTCAAGAGAGCACAGCTAATACATGGAGACAAACAAACAAACAAAAAAAGTCCTAAGTTAGAATGACTTGTTTACAATTGCTTTATTTTTTTAATATAAGCGTGAGACAAAGAATCAAAATTGGATTTTTGTTCTTGTTTTTAACATCTTAAGCCGTGAGTTGCTCTTTCTAAAATAGGTAAATAGAGTCTTCCTACACAGACCACCCATACCTGGCAACGTAACTTCAGGAAAGGAGTGAGCAAGATGAAGTCATGTGTATTCAGGAATGTTGTTTTTTTGCATTAACTGTTATAGAGATGTCTACAACTCAAAGTGACCAATGAACCAGAGAGCAAGACCTTAGTTTATCCTGGGCCATCCTCATTGTGGTGTTAGCCTAAAAGTTGAAGGTTTTTGGGTTTGTTTTTGTTTTGGTTTTTTTTTAAGCCACTACAGTTAGCCACTCTGGTCTCCAGGTACCTCAACTGCAGACGCATGGTCTTGCAAATCAGCATCAGCTGTGGGACTAGATAAGAGAAAGAGTGCTTCCCACATTAGGCGACTAGACTTGTGGCTAGCAAGCTTGTGGCAGCAAGACCCTGTTGATTTGCAAGACCATGTGTATTCAGTTCAGGTAGCTGGAGAACAGAGGCAGCTAACTGATGGCTTTTAAAAAAGCCACCTTTTAGGCAAACATCACACTCAAACTCTGCCATCCTCCAATCCATTCTTGAAGTCACTGTGTCAACCCAACTCATTGAGAGTCTTCCTCTTCTTTCACTGACTCTCTACCTTTCCCAGAATGATGTCTTTTTCCAAAGATTGGTCCCTTCTGACAACTTACCTGAAGCATGTGAGAGGAAGTTTCACAATTCTTGCCTCTACGGAGCACCCTGGTTGAACTTACAAAAAAAATGGGTTTGTATGTTCTTTTGGCAATCCACGGGGTAGTCAATGCTCTTTACCAATACCACAATTCAAAGGCATAATTTCTTCTTGTTGCTACTGTCATTTTTGTGTACCTTTGAGTTGAAACTGATCCACTGCGAACCTCCCACCAGGTTTTCAGAGGCAGTTATCACTGGAGGATACTGTCCATCCTTCTTCCATGGAGCAGCTGATGAATTTGAACCAGGTGCTTTTGTGTTGGAAGTGCAACTCCTTACTACTAAGCAACCAGAGTGTTTCCTATTTTGACATGTGTATGAAACAATGAAAATATCATGACTTAAGTCAGGCATATGTTAGTCTCTAAATTGACAGATTGTTCTATTTCACTTTAAAGAAGCCCCTAAGAGCAGATTTGCCCAATGCAACACATCTTTTGATGTCTTGATTGCTGCTACAATGTGTGCTGTGGATGCAAGTAACATTAAACCACTAACAACTACAATTTTTCCTTCCTTTTATTATGATGTTGACTACTGATCCAGTGGTGAAGATTTCTGTGTTCTTGATGTTGAGAATTAGTCCATAATGAAAGCTGTAGTCTTTGATGTTTCACAGTTAGTGTTTCAAGTCTTCTTTACTTTCAGCAAGCAATGGTGTATCTAGATAACTCAGGTTGTTGATGAGTCTTCCTCCAATTCTTGTGCCACATTCTCCATCATACAGTGCAGTTCTGAGAAATAGTTGTTCAGCATATTTAATGGAAAGGATAGTGAAAGAATGCAACCCTGATGTACACCTTTGCTGATTTTAAACCATGCACTGTTACCTAGTTCTGCCCAGACGACAACTGCTTCATGTCTATGTGCAGGTTTCACATGAGCCAATTAAGTGTTCTAGAATTACCACTCTCAATTTATTTATAATTAAATGCCTTCTGGTCAATATAACATTATCTTTTGGGTATGCTTTGCTTATCTGTCACCACTTGTCTGACAGCCTGGTGTATTCTGATGGTTTGCAAACTGCTAGACGCTACAACACCAGTATTTAAAATAGCAGCAGGGTCATCCATGGTGGATCTTGGTTTCAGAGGAGCTTTTAGATCTAAACCGACTAAGGAGAACTGGTCACTCACTTCTAAAATAATAGGCCCTCAACTATTTTCCAAAAAGCAATGGAACATTCAATGACGGCATGGTCATAATTAAGCAAGCTCCACACATGCATATTCACTGAAGTTCCAGGACTAGAAGACTCTAGACTGTGGAGCATTTTTTGACATCTCCTGGCTTGCTTAGAACATTTATGCAGAAAAAAAATGTGGTATATCCCTGTAAACAACAGAAGTGTCAGAGTAGAACCTCTCCCAGACAATGCCTGATGTGCAAGCTTGTATCTTTCAGATGAGTGACTGAAAGCATAGGTAGATAACAGCCTCTGAATTTTGTGGGCTAGACTAGAAAATTCATGAGCCCAGAAAAGCAATTTTTCTTTAAAAGCTTGGAAAATTTCCAAATACTCAACTCTCATGTTAATTGAGAAAAGAATGAAATATAAATAATTCTTCAAAGAAACTGACTCTGTAATGTCTATGCGGTATCACACACATAGGCAATACATGGATTTTGTACATGGATTCAGATATCTATGTATAAAACACATATGACCAAAATAAATGCCACCACAACAAAATTCCAAGTAAAAATTCTATAATTCCATCAACATATATAAAATATTATCAGCCCACTGCTATTAAATCAGTTCCAACTTATAGAGACCTTCCATAGATTTCTGAGGCTGTAAAAACCTCAAGAAGAAACTGCCCATCTTTCTTCCACAGAGTGAGTGATGGGTTCAAAGTGCCAGTCCATAGGTTAGCAGCCTGACATTGCACCACTATGCCACCAAATTTTAGAAAAGGACCTAGTAAACAGTCTCTCAAAACAATTCACTGCTCACAACTGTTGAGCTGGAAGTGACTCACCGCTCACTCTCCAGCAGGTTTTCAGAGGCTGTGAATTCCATGGGAGGACACTGTCCACTTTTCCTCTATAATGTACTGTAATGAGACCTACTTTTCTACTAGCCAGGATGTTTACTATCACATTCTAGGGGAGCTCTAGGGGCCTAGTGATAAGATGTGCTACAATCCCACAGACATGTGGTTTGAATCTGCCAGCTGCTCCGAGGGAGGATGGGCAGTCTCCTAATCAGTGATTTAATGCTTCTGAAAACCTACTGGAGGGTCAGATATGAGTTGGTTCCAACTCAACTGCATACAGCAATATCAACTGTTACACTGGATGGCTTAGTGGTGCAGAATCATACTGCCAACTCAAAAGTATGTGGTTCATAGGGAGCTCTGGCGGCCTAGTGGCAAGACGCTGCACTGCAATCCCAGAGGTATGCAGTTCAAATCCACCAGATGCTCTGTTGGAGAAGGAGGGGCAATCTCCTCCTGTACCAGTCAGATATGATTTGACAGTACACATAAAAATAATACAATTTAAAAAAAGTATGTGGTTCAAATCAACCAGTTTCTCTGTGACACAAAAATGGGTAATCTCTTCCTTTGTGACTTACTGCTTCTGAAAATCCACCATAGGACCAGCTATGAGTTGATTCTGACTCAACGGCAACACAACTGTTACATCCTACAAAAAGCTAGTATATAGCCCTAAACTTTCTACAATTTTATAAAACAATTATTAATTCCACTTCTAGGAATTTCTATGTGCTATTACATACTTACATAGCACAAAGGTTCATGTATTAATGCAATCATTGTTAAGATTCATACAAATATAAAAGTTATGTAAATATCTTGTATCAAGGATATGAACAAATGATGGTATTTACATATAATAGAATGGCATGCTTCTACCTACCAACTGTATTAAAGAGTAAATAGCATGAAAAAAATACTCATTAGAATAATAAAGAAAAGCAATGAGCAACAGTATAAAAAGTGACTGTAACTTGATTTGTGCCACTACTAGAACCTCTACTCGGAATATTATTGCTTGTTAATTTTTGACTCATGTACTTTTAACTTGTTAGTTAAATTTGTGTCTTCTAGGTTGCAACACCTCCATGATACATCTTCAAGGATATGAACATGTACGGCTAAGCACAATTAATAACAGTGCATCTAAATTCCAAAATCAATCTCCATAACAGTCTATGTGTTTCCTACTGCCAAAGGGGCCCTTTAGAGTAGTGAGAGAAGATCTTCACCCTGAAACCCACAGCGTCCCTTTTCAGCAGGAAGTAGCTAAGAGAATACGCCATCCCCTTTTCCTTATGAATCAGGGTGAAGTCTCTCTCAGGGAGGAGTGATAGGGAATGGCAAAGGACACACTGACAAAGGAGATTAATCAGAACTGGCTTTGACAAGCAATATGGCAATTGGACAATTAAAATAGACATTCGGGGGGGGAAGAAGAACGAACTGGGGAGGGGGGTAGAGAAAACAGTGCAACAATGAATGAATGAGAACCCAAAATCTCTGTAAATGTTCATTAAAACATAAAATTTAATAATAATAATAATAATAATAAAATTTAAAAAAATAGCAAATGATGGGCAAAAAAAAGTGACTGTAATGTGTGCAGATATATACTTTAACATATATAATATTTGCTGCTGATGGTCAAGGACTGCAGCCTTCAATATGGATTGAGGCTCAATGTCAAGAAGACAAAGATTAGTTGTACTGCTTTAAATTATCACATTATCTTACATATGTTTTCCTCCAAAGTCAACAATTAATCAACTGTATCAAGACAATTAATTCAACAGAAATAATATACGCTTGCTGGATAAACTATGCCATTTAAAAATGTAAGTTGAATCTATTTTTAAAGACATAAATAAACACCCAAATTTTAAAAAACGGGAGAAAAGAAACATGTAAAAACTATTTTCTACGACAAATATACAATGTACTTACAGTTAGTTGCCTCTCACTAGGCTGATTATCTCCAGTTTCTGCTTCACATTCTGGAATAGATGTAAGACCAAATTCTTCCGACACAGGTCGTTTAGATTCGTTCTGAGAAACTGCTGAAAGGAGCAACATTTTAAAAAGGAGAAGCATTTTAAAAATTGAAACACAAAGACTTATTTGGTTTTTGTTTTAACACTTTCTATACTAATGTTCTTAAAAGTCTTGAAATACAACCCCAAGAGAAAGGTACTGAAAATTTATGTATGGAATGTTCTCTTCCCCAAGATCATGCAGTGGAATCTTACATCCATAAAGAGCCTTCGATAGTTATCTGTATTTGGTTAATTTAGGGATAGATAAATGAGATTAGACATTATCTTTGATCCCCTGATACTTATTTTTACTATTTTAATAATCCATACCTATTTCTTCCCCACTAATTCCTACCAGACCGTTAAATTCAAACAAGCTATTCTAGGTCCCTTAGTTTTAGTGACTCAAACACTAATACATAGTAAACTTAAAACATCATGCATGAAGGCTTGTTAAGAGAAATCAGGTTACACATAACCAATGCTCTATCTACACTCTTAAGATACAATCATTATTAGGCACTGCTGTATAAACTGAACTTGTACTGAAACGGAAAGCCCTCATACCTGTAACATTAAGCACTTCTCTCTGTAACGCTCTGGTAACTGGTATTCTCTGGTACCAATGTCCAACTCCTTCAATTTCCCAGAGGAGTTCATGATCTCCTGGATACTTTTCAAAGTACTGTTTGCAAGCTAAAAAACAAAGGCCTAGCATAAACTTGATATTAAAATAACACTAAGACAATTCAAAAGCATAATTAAGTGTCCCGCCATTCCTATTCTTCTCAATGTTATCCACAATGTGTTGCTGTTGAGGTGTACCATCAAGTCAGAACGACACATAGCTGGCTCATAGCTGACTCCCAGTGGGTTTATGGAGGCAGTTCATCACATGGAAGGAGACTGGCCATCTTTCTCCCTCAGAGCATCTGGCAGATTCAAACTGTTTGCTCTCGGGACTGCAGTGCAGCTTCTTGCCACTAGGTCACGAGAGCGCCCTCCAGAATGTGTTATGATCCACACAGTCAAATACCTTTGCAAAAATATGGCATAACCATATAATTCAGCCATAAAAATATATAAAGTACCAATTCATTCTACAAGATGAACCTTGAAAATGTCATGCCACATTTGATATAAAAGACCACATATTATATGATTCTATTTATTTGAAACTGTCCAGAATAGGCTCTGGTGACCTAGTAAAAGGGAGTTTCGCTGTCAGTCCAAAGACATGTGGTTCGGATCCACCAGCTGGTCTGTGGAAAAATGGGCAATCTCCTTCCATGCAATTTACAGTTCTGAAAGCTCTGAAAAAGTCTATTAGTAGTTGGTTATTACTTGATGACACCCAACAACAGCAACATAAATACAGAAAGTAGGGCAGTGGTTACTAGGGGCTAGAGCGATGGAAGTGAATGCTAATGAATAGTGTTTCCTTCCAGGGTGATGAAAATCCTTTGGAATTGGATGGGGATCTAAAAACCACTGAATTGTACAGTCTAAAAAGGTGAATTCTATCTCAATTTTACAAATCAGTACAGTACATCCAGAAAGCTAGCTATTTCAAATAAGAACATATTTGTAAAATTAAGCCTTAGAGAGCCAAGCACCTCAAATGTATTTGATAGTAAAATATGCACATTTATAGTTTTAAAAGAAGTCAGTTAGAAGTGACACTGAGAAAAGACGTAACATTTTTTTTAACTTGGTCCAATTACCTGTGTACATGAGTGAGGACAGTGGATACCGCAAGCCCAGTGCTTCTTCTGTAAAGGAATCAACAAAGTCCTCTACCATGTGAAGCCCAAAATCTTTGCCTCGAAATTTTTTTCTCACAAACATTGTATCAAGAACTGGAAGCTGGTAGCTTTGGGTAAGAAATGAGGAACACACACTTCCTGCAGTCATCAGAACAAAAGACCAAACAATTGTTTACATTAAAAGGAGATTATATGGTGAACAAAAGTTAAGTCTTTTTAAAAGTTGCTAATTTTTTTACCATATAAATGATTTCTAAAATTCAAGTTCTCTAGGCAGAGGGCTCACTTCTCTTTTGTGATTTATCTCAAACACACATCATTCTCTCTAGTTCTGAACAACTTTCTAACCCATCAACTACCATGAAGTATCTAATTCCAGCCCTGACATTCAAACATTCTCCTTTGCCCTTTACTTATCATCCAATTCTCATTTTTCTTTTCTTAATAATTGCAAAGAAACAAATTCCTTTTCAAATCGTAAAGGATTACAAATTATAACTAATTAGAAATATGTGTGTCCTAGAAATAGTTGTATCAGTAATTTTTGCTATAAATGTATTTCTAAATGGATTTTGCAAACTTATGGTTAAGCAAATTAAACATATATGACACTGTCTAAATTACACCTTTATCATACAGCTGTATTGACTGCTATTTTTAAAACCTGCTGTTTATTTGAGGTTCTGACCATCTGAAGAGCTTTGTTAGCTCCTTAAAGTCTATGGATAGTTTCAAAATTGAAGCACGACAACAGAGATTCTCACTTTTTATTAACTTTACTATTAATCCACAGTTATCATTCAATGTTCTACCCTTTCTCTTAAGTAAAATAAAACAACTATTCTCAAATTATTCCTCTGATTTGGGTTAATGTACTTCAAAGGATAAACAAATATCAGTTAATGTGCAATTTAACTTTTAGAAATTATACCATCTGAAAAGTGGATCTATATAGACATTTTTCCCTTTTAGTTCAATCAAGTATTCTATATTAATATTAAATTTAAGAACATTAATAACTTTTTCCAATACTCTCCAAGGTTACTAATTTCAGAATAAGCAATGTTAATGTACATGCTACATACTTAAAACTTAATTAAAAGCTAAAACTGAAGTCAAATTCTTGCTGACATGCAATCAGAACACTTCAAAGAGCCTAATTTTCTTTTGAGTCTAACAAGGTATTCCTTTAACAAACTTACATAACTATTATCAGCTTTTATGTCTTGAAGTCAAGATTGTCTCACAAGGTAACTGTTAGTGGTGATTTCTAAATTAAAAAGCGGAATACTTTAGTAGTATTTAGTTCTACAAGTAGTTATAAAGGACAAAGCCATCAGAGCTCATTCTAGGTAATATTTAAACCTTATTCCTTAAATTAAAAATATCTCTAAAGTTTACTTTACACCAAACAATCTCTCTCAGTGATGTTGAGTTAGAACTGACTCACAGCTGAACCGCAAGTGAGTTTTTGAGAGGCTGTAAATCTCAGGAAAGGAAACTGCACTTCCTTCTCCAGCAGAGCAGCCAGCTAGTGGATCTGAACTGCCAGAGAAGCACCACCTTAGGTTAGCTGTGCACTCTCTGTCAGGAAAAGTGACACAGTGACTGCAGCAATGGGCTTGTATGTGTTAGAGACTGTGAAGATGGCTCAGGATACGACGGGGTTCAGATCTATTTTTCACAGGGCTGCTATGAGTCAGACTTGACTTGATGGCACCTAACAATAACAACATGGACATGACCACAAGAGCTCCCTAAACCAAACAGTACTTTAAATTAATTCATAGAGAACATTCGCCTTACTATAACTAAAGAAAGAGAAGGCACAGAGAGGCATAGAAAGATTAATGAAAATCAGTTACAGAAAGGAAGTAGGAAGTGTGTGATATCATTATAGGTATTAAAATTAATGTTATAAGAAAAACTGTGTATAAGCAGTAAAATAATTTGCTTTGTAAATGTTTACTCAAATCACAATATAAATAAATTATTAAAGAGAAAAGATACTTAGAGGATTTTAAAAAAAAAAAAGAATGTCCGCCATCATGCATGGTGCTCTTTTAAAGAACTATCTGTATGCTGTATGATGAAAGGGTGTTCAGTATCATGAGCCATTCTCTCTCACATCTCTATGTCTCATTGCTGAAACTGATTCCTATATGATCTTCCATCAGGCTTCTGAGGCAGTAAATAATGCCCCCTCCCGCAGTATCTTAAAGGCAATATTATACATCTAGCTTTCATTGTTATTACGGAGTAATCAATCTTGATCCCTAATATACACCTTTCATTCATTAGAGGCATACAGTCTCTTCTTCATACTAGAGGCAGTGCAATTTCACAGTAATGTGCCTTCATAAGGGTTAAGTATAAGCCACTGTGAGGGATTCCTGAAGGTTTTATTAATCTAGAAATGTATGTTCGAGTTCTGAGAAATTTTCTTGAGTCGTCTCCTTAATTCTCTCGTTTCCTTTTTTGGAACATCTATTATTCCCCAGGTTCCTCTCATTTTATTTCTTTCTTTTTCACCATTTAGGGTTTTTTTGATTCTTGTTTTTTTCTTCTGGTCAATTTACTCAACATTATCTTCTTTCTACTGATTAACTTCAGCTTTTACCTGTTAATTTCTAAGAGCTCTATGATCCTTCTTTTAATAGATTTTGCTCTCCCTTGATAGATGATTTGCTCATAATTTTGCTTCCTATGTCTCTTCCAAATGCTTTCTTATTGTATTGAATGCCATTATTCAAATCAGTGAATCATGGCTACTCACTCATCATTAAAAAAAAAAGAGATGCTTTAAAAACATGTTTAGAACCTCCATCTGCATTGCTGGAAACCCAATGGAAAGTTGTTAGGGGTTTTTTTTTCCTTTTTCTTAATCAATTTTTACTGAATCTAGGTAACTATGAATTAAAGTATTTGTAACTTCTCAGGCACTACTTCTGCAAAAGAGAACTTATACAAAATTTTGAACACTTGTAAAGTATAACACTATATATAT